CAACCGTACATTGTGCTTACTGAACCCGTGGGGCGGGGGCTGGCACCTCCCACCTCATTACCGCAGATTGAGGCACGAGTTTGGTGAGAAATGGTCTCCTGCATGCCAGACTGGCTGTCAGGAGAGAGTCGTCCCTGGAAAGTGGCAGGACATATACTGGATAGAGCAGAGGGTCAGCAAAGAGAAGCTGCCCCTCAATGAGATGGAAAGACACGGTGGCTGCCCCCATGGGCTCAAGTGTCACAGCAATGAGGGTGGCCCAGGACCTGGCAGTGTTGTGTTCTATTGTGCGCAGGGGCCACTGTGACTCCGTGGCACCTAACAACAACAGGGACACCTCCTAAATGAACCCTAGTAGCCTGCTGCCATCGCGTCAGATTCAACTCATAGCAACAGCGGAGAACTGCCTTGTGGGCTTTCCAAGTTTAATCTTTATAGAAGCAGTCTGCCATCTCTTGTTCCCAGGGACCGCCTGGTAGGTTAGAACTGCTGAACTTTCAGGTAGCAGCCTAACACCTGACCCCTGTGCCACCAGTGTTCCTTTTGGATGGATAGTGAACACATCATTTGGGCTTTGTTGGTATAATGCTGAATAAAGGAGTCAAGTGAGGTGGAACAAAGCATTCAAGCTGGGATGAAAATGTTTACAGACCAATAGTCAATCTCCCCTTGGAGAAGCTCTCTGCACATTTTTTGCATGGTCCCCGGAGCTTCCTGAGAGCCCTGGTGGTGTAGTGGTTATGAGTTAGGCTGTGATCCAACACATAGGCAGTTCGAAACCACCAAATGCTCTGAGGGAGAAAGTCTCAGAAACTCAAAGGGGCTGTTCTCCCCTGTCCTGTATGGTTGCTCTGAGTCGACATGCCTCACTGGCAGTGAGAGGGAGCTTCCTACACCTGAATGCATGCCCTCAGCTAACCAAGGACCCCTTCGGGAACCTAGAACCATCCACAGGAGGTTCTTCTTAAGGGAAACTTGTATCCCAAGGCACGAGAGGTGAATGCCTTTCCTGGCCCCTAGAGGAGCCAGTAGATAGTGAGCACTGACCATTAGCCACAGTAGAGTCCTGCCAGCCGGCCTCCTTACCTCGCAGGCATACAGTTTGAACTGCAGCCCCAGGATCTTGTAATCTATCAGCTGGTTCCCTCGAAGCTGGGTCAGCGCCTCCTTCAGATCTTTAATGGCGGAATCGTATCTGCAGGACAGAGAGCAATGAAACAAGCGCCAGGCACACGGCTTGCTGCTCCTTTTCCACCGATGGCTCTCCGAGGCCTTTTGACTGTATTCAAAAATAAAATAATAATGCACAAAGCACTAGATGTCTACAGGGTGTATTGGGCAATTATCTTGTGGGCACAGAGGGAAGTCATTTGTTTCCCAACCAAAGCAACAGACACAGCTCAAGACTCAACATGATTGACTAGATCACGTCCCTTTCTGAGACCAGTTGATATCTGGTTACTAGGTGGTCTCTGAGACCCCGTTTATTTGCACAAGTCTTCGGGTGCAGTCCTGAGGTTTTAAAATAACAAAAGCTGGGAATTCCCAATGGTTGTCTCTCGAAGCCAGGGGACCGCCCCCCCCCCCCCCCCCCCCCCCCCACTCCACAGTGAAACCCTGTGTTATTCATCGGTAACAGATGTCTCTGTAAAGAGGGGGCCTGCTTGGTGGTCACGGTGTCCCCACACTGTTTCCATCATGTATTCTTGGGTGCACATCCCATCGGCCAGGCACTTTTGGCAATGTCCCTAAGCATTCAGCGGGATCTGTTCCTCCACTTCTCCTTTTTAACAGCCCGCACTCGTGTCTCACTGGAGCCCCGTCTTGCACAGAGTGGGGTGTGCATGCCACCCCTGAGGGCGCATCATGGCCAGTCTACGCCTGCCCTTCTCCAATGGCTGACCATGACTCCCCCCTGCTCACAGCCAGCTGCTTGCTCTCTCTCCTGAGAGCCCCACGCAGGAACACTGCCTGCCTCCCCAGAGCTGAGGGCACTGAATCCCCTGCCCCGAGCCTTCTCCTTTTACTCTTTGGTCTTCATTCATTCATTCATTCATCCACTCATTCATTCATATTACTAGTAAAAATGCAGGTAACAAAACGTTTGCTAGTTCAACCATTTCCACATGGACAATCAGTCAAGAGACATTGGTCACGGTCATCATGGTGCACTCGTTAGCACCATCCACTTCCAAATCACTCCACCGCCATCCACAGGAACTCAGTGCCCGCCCCACCCAGACTCCCTCCACCACCAGCCCTTGTCCTGGCACTCCAAGATCACACCGGGTACACTGTTGATTCTGACTCCTAGTGACTGTGTAGACCCGAGTCCTGCAAGGATCTAAATCTTTACCGAGAGAAACAGCTGCATCGTTCTTCCACAGAGCGATCCAGGGGCTTGAACCACCGACGCTCAGGTAGCAGCAGACCAGCACTTTAACTGCTATGCCGCATGGCTCCTTCTGCCCCTGGGAATCACTGATTAATCTTGGTCTCTCTGCATTTGCCTACCTCGTATCCAGTGGGGTCATGCGATGGTTGTCCCCTGGGGATCTGACTTACTTCACCCAGCATAATTTGTTTAAGACCCATCCATGTTGTAGTATGTATCAGGACCCTCTGGCTTCTTAATCTTTTTAAGTCCTTCTCAATCTCCTGCCCACCCTCACCCTCACCCCCCTCACTCCCCACCCCCACACTTTGGGAAAAGCAAAGGGGCGGGAGGAGAGACGATGAGACCACCACCCAATCCCCAGAGTGTTCCTGAGGGTCCTGCTGGCATGACCCACCCTGCGCGTTAGCTTTGTGCTGACTGACTCAAGGTGCGTCAATGTTGCTGTCACTAGATTTGAGGTCAACAATGGGGCTTACCAGGCAAGGACAGGACCTGGGCACACATCCCAAGGAAGCTGGCTCCAGGGCTGGATCTATTCGGCCTCCACAGAGGCCCTGGTGGAGATGAGAAACAAGCTGCTCCTGTCTAGTCCCTGGTGGATCCTTCTTGGGTAGCTGAACCCCAAACTCCCAGGTCCCTCTCAGACTCGGCGCTACTATCAGGGCCTTCTTTTGGAGACAAACCAGGCATTTGGACATAGATTGGTGGGCTCCTCAAAACGTGGTATGTCCTGATGGTGGCCTAGGCAGGTACCACCCCATCAGCGCTAACAGGGAGGCCCTGGCACGCCTGTATTGGAGACATGGCTCATAGGAAGATGACTGCTGTGGTGACCCTGTAGTAGAATTCTCACCTTGCATGCAGGAGTCTCAGGGTCTATTCCCGGCTACTGCTCAATCTGTCACTGGGGGCTTGCATGTTGCAATGCAACTGAACAGATTTCAGGGAGCTTCCAGACTAAGATGGACTAGGGAGAGACGTTCAGGTGATCTACTTCCGGCGCTCATCCATGCCTTGGTAACTCAGCAGCTCACTAGCAACTGAGGAGTGGGGCTCAAATCTTGGCTCTGTGCTTTCCAACTTGTATCCGAGGGTGAGAGCTGAATAATAAGACGTGACACCACATGACAGGGTGGTGGTGGGATAGTAACATTCAAGTCAAGCCTGAAGTTGCTTAGGATGGTGGCTGACACACAAAGTAGTCTGTTATTATTTGTATTTTTTTCCAGCTCTAAAATTCTATATTCCTTTATACTCACCCATCAATCACTCATTAGGAGCCTTGCTGGTCTAGTGGTTATGTGTTGAGTTGCTACCTGCAAGGTCAGCAGTTTGAAACCACCAGCTGCTCTGCAGGAGAAAGATGAGACTTCCTACTCCCAGCAAGACTTCTATTCTGGGAAGCCCCGTGCGTTTCCACCCGGTGCGATAGAGTCGCTGTGAGGTGGCATCAACTCTGTGCCCGTGAGTTGGTGGTTTTATTAGAGCCACTTACTCTGTGCCTACTGCAGTCTGTCCTGCATTCGGCACTCCCCAGGGGATACACATGCACGGCAGTAGACACTGGAACTCGGCTCTCCAGGAAGCTTACAGGGCTGGCTGAGCTAGGGAGCCCTAAGGAAGGGTGTCCGAGTCGGTCGGAGGCATGCTGGACACCCAGTCAGGGTTTGATAGAAAGAAACTCAAACCTTGGCTTGTTTTCTTGAATGTGTGCTTGTTATTACTAAAGATGACCGGCAAGCACACTGGAAGCACGCAGGCCGTGTCTTAAGCAGCAGTACACATTTAAAGCAGCGTCCACACCGTCCAATCCTTCCTGAGAAGGGGAGAAAGTAGCCACTGCAGTTCCTTCTGTCTCTGGAGCCCTGGTGGTGCTGGCAGGTAAGACTAGGAGTGGACTGCTAACTAGAAGCGCAGTGGTTCAGACCCACCAGACCCTGAGAGGGAGAAAGATGAGGCTATCGGATCCAGCAAAGACTCACCATTTCGGAAGCCCCCTGTAGGGTCACTATGAGTCCGAATCAGTGGGCTTTCCCCCTGCCTTCTTTCTAAGCAGGAAGGTGAGGCTCATTTGCTCCAATTGCTGAGCCTCAGAGGAGAGGGCAGGCAGAAGCCTGACTGTGTGCCCTGGTCCTTTTGCCCCACCCCCATGCCCACTGCGTGCTATTGCCCATCTGAGGTGGAGAAGACATGCCTTCATCAGTCTCCATTTACAGATTAGCCTTCCTCGCTGCAGTGGGAGCTAGTACGGTGAATCCCGACGTCGCATCCCCCACCCCAGCCTGTGGACGTCCTTCTGAGTCATGTGTATTACTGGTTTTTGGAAATTGCTTAAATGGAATATTTCTTGGATTATTAGATGATTGCTACCGACAGACGTGTTTTATAAAGTCTTCCAACATTAAACAACAGCATTCTCAGTTACAACATTATCAGTATCTGAGCAGAAGGCTCTTTCTACCATTCGCTTTCTTTCCCTTATTACTTTATTCTCAAAAAGGTCCTTGGTATCGGCTCACAAATACGAATTACCAGAGAGTTCAACTAGAGCCCCGACCTGGCACCACCAGGCACTGTAAAAACACCAGCGGCGGCGGCGGCAGCATGCTGCGGGCTCGCAGCACTGGAGGACGAAGCCCCATCGTCCCTGGTCATAACGGCAGCTCTGACAGGAGCGCATCGGTGTTAGGCGTGGATGAGGCGGTTCAGTCGCAGCAGCCCGTGTACCGCGGACCAGAAGCCTGCCTGCCGTCCCCACAGTGGTTCTGTTTGGGCTTATTGTCGCAGCCCGCGTGGCCGTCTTTTCCGTTTCACTGCCCCGCACTCTTACCAAGGACCGTTCCTTCTCCGGAGACTGCTCGCTCCCGAGGACGCGTCCAATGTCCAGGGGACAAGGTCCCATCGTCTTGCTTCCAAGAGGGCTTAGTCCGTTAGCACCAGGGTTCAGGTGCATCGACGACTCTTCGTCCAACTGTCACATGCACATGGGGCCACTGCCTATACCGTGGCTTGGGCCAGGTGCACCTTCGTCCCCAGAGTAATCTTGCCTTTCAAAACTTCAGAGAGGTCTTGTGCAGCAGATTTCCCCAACAATGTATCTTTTGATCTCTTGGCTGCTGCTGCCATGAGCTCTGATCGCAGCAAGACGAAATCCTTGACAACTTCAATCTGTCCGTCTGTCATGACGCTGCCTATGGGTCCAATTGTGAGCATTTTGGTCTTCTTTCCATTCAATTGTAATCCACACTGAAGGTTCTGATAGGTCGCCAGGGAGGGTGTTGTCCCTCTCTGTGCCAAGGCGCCCCTACAGGAGGTTGCTGTAGAGACTCAGAGAGCCCAGCCAGCCATAGGAGCGGGAGGACATGCTTACATTCAAGCCCCCAGCCAGGCAGGGTGGTCCACCTGGGTGGGACCCCATCCAGGCCAGGAGGGCGTAATTCAGCCAATGGGGCTAATCAGCATCCTTGTTCATGCCTCCCAATGCAGGGCCCCTGAAACTCTCTCTCTCTCTCTCTCTCCCTCTCTGGCTCTCTCCCAGCGCCTGCCACACGGTTCAGCGCTTCCAGGCGGCCCAACCCAGTGCGCGGCCGGCCGGGCCGCGGACTCTGGCTTGTCTTCCATTTACTGTAATGCCTGAAGCGACTTCTAACCTTTATAAAACTCACTTGGATCGCAAACCGGGCTTCAGCTTGAATTCTTTGTCACGCAAAGCCAAGGACTGAGGTATTTTTCCCACGAGAGAGACCATGATCTTCATCAGCAAGTGCTTCAAGTCCTCCTTTTCAGGAAGCACGGTT